GTATTCATGTGAGTTAATAAGCATTTATTGTTTGATCCAATCAAAGTATCGACATATCGCACTAGCTAACTGAAAGATTAACAATTCGGGATAATAACGATATGCAAAACAGATTCAAATTTAAAATCGAAAGAATAAAAAGCGACACACCTTGCTGAGCATTTATTTTATTGCTTGAAGTGGAAATATTATGAGCCTCATGCAGCAATGAGTTGAGGATTCGACCTTCTTGCAAATGCATGGGACTTACTGCATGTACACGTCGATCGCGTGGTTCTATCGACCAACTTCGTAGTTCGCGTCGTTCGCCATCCATAACCTTCCCGTCCGTCCCCTGATTGATCGATGAGAAAATTTTTTTGCAACTGAAAAGAACGATAGTTAAGTCATCTGGAAAGGGTGACAAAAATGTCCGGTACAAACCTTTGGTAAGAGATAGTAACACTATCTTCATTTCAAAATATTGTAGTATATTTTGCAACGACAGAAGTTCTTTAAGACTAGCCAAATGAAATATCCGTTGACTAAAACTATAATGACTGCAGTGTTCTCATCACACTCTTATAGTATACTAACCCTTGACCTTTGAAGACCCTCCCTTCGTCAAACACCAAATATTGTACAAACGCAGGACCTCATATGCCTCCCTTCTCAATTACACCAATGCAGTCCAATTTAACGCGGCTCTCGGGACTCAATCTCGAGTGTTTTGTCGAAGGTGCTGTCTTTTTCTTAATTGTAGTGATTTAGGAGATAGGTGTGATTGCTCAAAGTACCATTTGTCCTTCACCATATCTCTGATTCCATGACGCACGCATTCTCGCACTTAATTTTTGCCAGTAATAGCTATTTTCCTTCGTCACCGCCTGCGGTTATTCCTTTTTTCTCTCTGGAATGAATTTTCTATCGCAGCTGTGGTCACCGTAGTTTTGATGACTCTTCTTGCTTAAATTGGTTGAATTATATAAGAAGAGAAGTGGAATTTCAGGTTTTGTTAGATGATTACGAACCAAATTGGTACGGTTATCTTAGGTATAGCTCTGCTGTTATCCTTGCGGGATATCTATGGACATTCCAAAGATGAATATGACGACGATGAAGTGTTTAAAAAGGAATTTGGTGATGAGGTTGGTTTTTTACAAATTACTGCGAAAAGCACTGGTTAGTTAATCATTTTTACAAGATACGAGATCGTGTTTAGACCGATTCTTTTTCTCATAAAATTTCCCAAAAAAAAAAGAAATTTTTTTTCCTCAAAAAAAAAAGGATCAGTCATATTTCTCCGCTGTTATCAGGAGAACTTTCTGTTCCAGAAAATCGACGAAAAATTAGAGGATGCAGACTACATTCGAGTTAGGCAAGAATCAGCTCAATTCAGTGTACCGCCACATACTACTAGAAAACTTCCTAGCATGAAGTTTTTGTTTTGGTTAGATTTATGATTTTTGAGGATTCTATAAAAGTCATCAAACTTCCATTTATCCTTTTTAATACACAACTGGTGAAGTTTGACTTCAGCCGAACTTGCTTTATATTTAGACTGGCATTACTCAAAAAAATTGTGACATGAGGGGAACATACTTGCATAAAAATGACTTACTTTCATAATTTCAAATAAATTGTAGTGTTTCATGTGGTTATCGGCAAGCATTTGATGAATTTTCTCGTTACATACATGAGAAGTATCCGTCAATGAAAATTGATGGCGCTAATTACTCACCTAAAGCATGGAAAAACGTTTTGGCGCAGGTTGAAAACCATTCCTTTGCTTCAATTTGTATGTGTTGCTTAAAACTTAATATATTTCAAATATGGTTAAGAACATTTGGATTGAATTTTGTCTTATTTTATTCTCTAAAAGTGCATGATCTGCAAAATTTGATAATCACTGTTTAATACTGGTTTTTGTACTTTGACAAGAAGTTTAACTTTTCGATATTATGTCCATTAAATGTTGTCTGGAGTTATGTTAGGATTTTATGATTTAAATTACTTCGTAGGACTGGACAATCTAAAAAGACCTAAGCAGTTAATTAGCTCATCACTAGCGGTACAGTTTTGATGAAAATTTCCAAAAAACACATGATATTTCAGATTATTGGGTTAGGGAAGATAGTGCTCATTGTATTGATTGTAATGGGGCAGGATCCATTTGCATCGATTGGACAGCCAACACCACGCATTTTCTCATGGGCCTTGAACAACAAAGTGTCATCTTGCATGATGTTGTTTCTTCTATCTAACACTATTGAAAGTTAGTTATCTGATTTTGACAACATTGTCTTTGAGGAATTGGGATTGTAACATTACTTTCATACCACTTGACACAGCTTTGGAGTGCTCTGATAAAAATATCTTTGCACTCAATTTTGAGATTTTAACATTTTGAGATTTTAAAATGACTCGATGAGAGGTGAGTTGGTTTTTTTGAAAATGAAACAGTGGAAATCTTTGAAACTAATTTGCTTTGGGACTGTCTACATATAGGGAGCTCATTTATTGAAATCCAAAAGTATAAAACAATGATTTTAAAACGATTAATTATTCAGTTTGTTCATCACTCCAGGCTCTCTTATGTCGACAGGAGCGTTCGAGATTTACTTGGGCGATGAACAAATATGGTCAAAACTTGAAAGTGGACGAGTGCCATCACCATCAGAACTGGTTCAGATTGTTGACCAGCAAATGGAACTGCAGGGTGTAAGGGTGGGTTTTTTACCAAGTAATTTGTTCGATTTGATTTGATGGTCTTTCAATTTTTGTTTATTTCAGGCTTCCGATACATTTACATTCGACTCATCCTGATAAGATGTCGAAATGATTACACGCTCAAAAACGTATGTAGTTTTGGTGATTGAGTTACTGAATCTATTGTTATTAAGACTTATACATGAGCTTAATTTTTTCCAAACATTTCTACTTCACTCATTAGAGAAATTTTCCAGAACGATTCTAGGTTTTTCGAATTTCTTGTTGAAGTTTTATAGTGTAAACGTGGTATTTTCGAAGACCAGATTAGGTAAAAAGAGTGATTCATAATAGAATTACATCAGCTTTCAAATCTTTATATCTATATCTATATATATATATATAATCTTTATTTTCCAAATCTTTATATATATATATATATATAATGTCTTCAATCAAACCTATTGGGAATTTGTTTCAGCAGTCACTCGACTTTTTTTTTGAGTTACTGTGTTTGTGAATGTCCCAATGCTTTTCTTTTTTTATCGTTTAGTTCCAGTGGTTCTAGTTCAGAGAATAATTTCTGATCTTTGGCCACAACGTCGTCGTCACCGTGTCTTATGCCAGTGTTCATTATTATCTTCATCTTGAAATGCTTGTCTTCTATTTCCTACTTCTTAATTTTAAAAATGTTTGAATTGTAATTATGACAGAAGTTGATGTCATTTCTATGCCGAATCAGTTCCTTGACGCAGTCTTAACTCCCAGCACTGTTATCGTTAACGTCCCGTTGCTGGGACATTTTAATGTTCAAGATATTTCACGAGATTCCATTATTGGTTAAAGCTAGCCAATTTGAGAATTGGCACATTCTTAATGCTGCAAACTTAGTGTAATTAGTGTTAGCAGTGTAAAAGACGTTCTCCTTATCCCAAAAGCCAGGTTTTACAGATTAATAAAGCCAAAGCAATCACTTGAATTCATCAAGTTTCATAATACCTTTTGAGTTCACCTATACCCACACGACTCTAATCTGTGATTCATTCTTCACATGTTGGTTGAGTCAGTAAAGACTCTTTTTATTGTCATTCTATTAAAAATGAAGACCTTGACCAGGATTCTGCCCAAGTATCAACTCTAATTCGATAGGATGAGGAACACAAACAAGCTCATTTCAAATGCGGAAAACTTTGTCCTTGTCAAATACTACAAAAACAAATACGAAGTGGTACAGCCATAAATTATAACGAATGAAAGAAAAGTTTCGAGACAAACTTCACGCATTTTACGTGTTTAACGAAAAAAAAAAAATCATGCGTGCTGTGACATAACATGTAGCAAATCGTGTACATTACTAATAAATCATCAACACAGACAGAATATTCCAAGGAACTAAACAATGCAGCAAATATTTTGTAGATTTCTCTTCATAAAAATCCTCGCAAAAAGTATTCTGTGACGATTCTAAAAGTCAGACAGCGATAGAAATCAATATCATTTAGAAATAACAATCAGGAATCGGGAGCTCTAAAGGAACGCAACTGATTTGATCAATTATTTGAGGTAATCAAGACGTAGAAGGTAGATATCCTGTTACGATTTCAAGTTCTGTAAGATACTAAAAGAAATCAGGCTGAATTCCTCATAAAATGAAAAAATTAAACAAAGGATAAAGAACCACTGGACGAGACTTGATCTAAACCTAGGAAGTTTCTTGGAAATAGGAACACAATGATAAACATACCTTAACGTGGACAGGATACAAACTTATTTTCAGAAAGACTTTATATATTTGGAGAGTTTTATCCGCAAATTACGAGAATGAAACTTGGATGGAAAACAGCAGGTACTTCGCCTAATTATTTCATATACAACATAATATAGTATGAGCAGAATTGAGGAACAAAAAATAAAACTGCACAGCTCCCAAATCATATGTAAAAAAAAAGAAAAAAAAATTACAGGCACCAAACTCGAGTTCCCTCTATGATGAAACAAATCTGAATAGTAAAAGATATACAAAAACACTACTGCCGTGCAATCATGCTTCCTTTTTTCTTATTCAAAGATAAAAAGAACAATCTCTCTATTTCGCAGTCATTATTTGCAAACTTCGAGTAAACATTGCTGTCAACAAATAATGCACATAATTTTTCAGGGAATTGTGAAATCTTACTATAAATCACGACAGCAAGAAATGATAAGCAAGGAACCAGTGGTAGTCTGATAAGATCATGGAGTAGCTACAAAAGCATTTCATTCAGCTAAATAGAAACGAAAAACTGCTTTACACACAAGTGAAGAAAAAAAGCTCATGCTTTCATATCCTGTATTTGTTTGATGAGATAAGCCTTCTCGTCATTAAACTGCTCGTCTTCTGTACGATCAGTATGGAAATTAGTAAGGAATTCAACTAGTTTCTCCTTATTCCTCAATAAAATATCGGCAACAGCCTTCGATTTGTTCGGATTTGCCACAAAAACCTAGAAAATCAAAAGATCCAATCCATATGCAGATAATAATAATTTGCTCATTGAAATAAATATATGATTTATGACTACAAAGGAAAGAAAGCAAATAACCAGACTATAGACAACTGAGGTACTTAAAACTTTTACATATAAATAATCCCCAAAAAAATGTTTTGCGTTTATCATATGAAATCATAATGTTTGCACAAATGGTCAAATTCTACTCCTCGAATCAGTCTATGATTACTGAGAGCAATAAATGATAAACCTTAAAAACATGAAATGCCTCAAATTGTATGCTACGGCTTTTCTCTTTGAGCATATTCATCATGAGCTTGAGATTGTCAGCATTATTGATATATCTCGTCATTACATTAAAATTGTGACGGTCCAGCAATAATTCGCCTAACAACTGGAAAGAGATTAAAATCAAACAGAATAATCCTTCCATTGTCATTATATTAAGGAAAGATACCGAGAAACAAGTTCTATACGTAGATTTCTCTGCAGATCAGTAAACAAATCACCGACAGTTATGATGACAAATGATAAAATCCACAAGAAAAGAAACCTTTAAAGATTGTCTTCTTGTAACATAATTTTCTGAATTCAGCAAATTTTGATAGGCCTGGAAAAATTCGTCGTATTTGCTGTCCAGAAATTCAGCACAAATTGTCTTGTGTCTCGTGACTAATTCTTTAAAGGTCGAAAATGCGTCTGATGCAATATCGAATGTAGATACCTGGAACAAAGAGACGTACCGCCAAAGCTACAATTACTTTACCTCAGGAGTTGAACCGATAGGTCAGGAACTTCATTTCATTAGTGAGACTTCATATCATTAACGAGTTCGTTCATACTAAGAAGCAGTGTGTCGCGTGACTAATTCTTATTACCGAAGCAAATCAGCTTCAATAGCTGCTGCAGCAACATGCTTAGTAGGCTCGATAATATCTGCCAAAACTATTTCATGTACTATATTCATCAATTCTGATATTAATAAATGGACAAACTTTGTCAAATATCGCGGTTTCCAAATTAAATGTCGTGCTCTATTCATTAAAATAAAATGATACAGTGAGGTTTTATTAAAATTCAGAACTCAAAAAACCATATAACACTATGTGGAAGATTATACCGATTACCACTGATTGATCAGTAATTTGAAATGCTCGAAGTTATTAACCTATAATAAAAGCAAAAAGCTAACCTCCACGTAACTGAAGAATTTGTAAAAATCATTGCCATAAAGAACCAATTTTGCAAGATTTTCATGCCTGATACATTCTCTTAACATACTACCACAAGTAACAGCTATCTCAGGAGTTTCATACCTGCAGAAAAAATCTGTCTATCACTTCAAACCACAAAATCAGCATCAGTTCTTGTGATTTACTGAGAATCGCGTTCTGCGTGAAGCTATCGGTTTTTTTCGGCTTAATTTACAAGTCATTTTGAACACAAATATATCTTTTTTTTCCCAAACAGGCTCAATTTTGGACGAAAAACATACACGATATAAAAGAATTTAGTATGAAAAACCCAGTTTCTAACTGAATCCTCTAATATGACAATATGACAATAGCTTTGTGTTTGCATAACAAAACCATCCTACTCTTTGGAAGAATTTAAATCAGGCATTTACTGAAACGAAAAGACTTGCTATTTCCAAAAAAAAATTTGCTTCTGCATTTCTTGAAAAGACTTTTACTGTCCACCCATCCCGTCTCTATCTTCTCCTTAACAAAGACGCATTCCACCTTTAACCCCACACAACTGCAATTAGTAATGAATTTCATTTACAAATACTGCTTGATAAGATAAACATCAGCTAACCCTTTAACAAGTGCTTCAAGAATCTGCGGTCGTGTATGTACATATTCCACCGTTGGTGAACGTGTTCCAATTTGCCGTCGCAGTAGATTGTTAAAAATTTGTGCAACATCCTTTTTTGCTTCGAAATCAAGCTTTATCAAGTTCTGGATCAGCATAGGGAGAATCGATGAATTATATGATTCCTGAGCCAGTTGTGCTACCTGTAAAAACTATCACTTCTTGGATAAGAATAGCACTAGGACTGCTTTGCTTCAATCGTTCAAGCGTTAACTCCGACATCTACTATCAAATCCCAACATCTATAACCAAGAAATCGCCTCCGTCTGGGATAAGTGCAAATGGGATTTTTTAAAACAAATACTAGAATCCTGAAGAAGAGCATTATTTTGGGTTTATGCTTTATGCTAAAGAAAAAGTGCAGAAAAGAAACAATATTTCCTACAAAGTGGCTCCCACAAAGCAGCGTCAAGCACGAAAGGCTATGAAAGAAATTAACCTGTTCCAAGTGCGGTTCCTGACTCTCCTGTCCATAAATGATACTTTTGATTGCCTGAAGTGATTTGCTCACTTCTTCTGCAACTTTTTCATTCTTTTTATCTCCTCGTTCCAATTTTTCCAGTTGTGTCAATGAGTCCTTTAAATTTTTAACGATATCCGGAGGTGATTTATGCGATTTGCCAAACAGCGGCAGAGGCATTGCAAAGCAGTAAAAGCTGAAATTTAAAGCTTTTACAAAATTCAAGCTTTGGGAATAAGAACATTAAACCAGTGAATATTATTAACGGTGCAGAGAAAAAATTAGAACTTGTAGCTATACACTTTTTGCTGAACTAAACTGCTAACGAATGTGCAAAAATCATTCCTACTCAAGTCCTTAGATTACACACTAAGCTGAACTATCGGGAAGAATTAAAAATCATTCTGTGAAAAATAAACCGAATACAAATGTATATCTGTTGAACAAGTGGAGTCAAAGATCAGTTCATCCTAAAGCGTAATAATGAAATGTTCTGCGGAATTAAAAAAAGAATGTTTCAGCAGCGAATCATCTTTTATTACTAAAAAAGACTTGTTCAAAGCAACAAACAATGCAAAATGTTATACACTGTGTTTACAGCACTTATTCTGTTTTGGCGGGCATTCTGACTGAACTTCGGACCGAGTTACTAATAACCCAAAATATTTAAGTGAAGATTTAAGAAAAAAAAAGAAAAAAAGCTATAAAACATTCTAAATCTTCTTTACCTTACTATCCGAAAAGTTACATTAAACAAATCGAGGTTTAAATCTGAGATTAAAAAAAGCTGAGCATAAAGGACAAAATGTATCCCACTACCTACAGTACTGCGAAGCATTGATAATATCAGTTCCATTTTAAAATAAATCTAAGTCAGTTATAATCATCGTCTATCTAAACAAGGGAAGGGTTATTTCTCCATCTCTGTTGCCAATTAATTATATGAGAGAAGATAAATGAATACACCTAGAATACTGGAAAAAACCAATAAAGTAAGAAAAAAATTTGGTCGCTCAGCCTATGATTAATGATCGCATTTAGAGAGATAGGTATTTCGTAACCGGCTAACTTTTACGATGTGAAACGATTTTCAAAAAATCAAATCTACTGCAAAAAATGCAACGATAGTAGAGACATATAAATGCAAGAACTATGAACAACGAATCCTACGCTTCACTAATTCACATAAGCTCAGTGAAACTGCTCCACGTCATAGCAGTACTGATGTCAACATACAGTAAATGCAGTAGTTCTTGTATGATCTTAAACCAATAATATCCTTTGTCACAAACTTCAAGTGCATATTATATCATTCGACATTGCTTCAAATTATCTCAGTGGAGAAATGTTCAACTCATAAGAGAATATGCTAGCGAGAAAAAAGACCACCCAGGAGAGAATAACATCTCGCAGAGAGGCCACCCAGAAGAGAATAACATCTCGCAGAGAGGCCACCCAGGAGAGAATAACATCTCGCAGAGAGGCCACCCAGAAGAGAATAACATCTCGCAGAGAGGCCACCCAGGAGAGAATAACATCTCGCAGAGAGGCCACCCAGAAGAAAATAACATCTCGCGGTGAGACCACTTAGAAGAAAATAGCATCTCGCAGGGAGACCACCCAGAAGAAAATAGCATCTCGCAGGGACACCACCCAGAAGAAAATAGCATCTTGCGGAGAGACCACTTAGCAGAAAATAGCATCTCGCAGGGACACCACCCAGAAGAAAATAGCATCTTGCGGAGAGACCACCCAGAAGAAAATAACATCTCGTGGAGAGACTACTTAGAAGAAAATAACATCTCGCAGGGAGACCACACAGATCGTGCGGCAACCGATCACATCGCAGTAGACATGATGCTCGCCCGCAACGCCGCTGCAACCCAAATGAAAGAGCATCATCACCCTTACATGCCACAACCAAACAATTACCTCCCGCGATCGTTTTATGTCACTGTGAAACTTTGATCATCTCTCGCTCTTAATGTTAAAATTTCTGTGATGTGCATGGCGTGATGTGAGTGGGGGATGAGTGAGTGTTGTTTCTGTCTGTGGACGATAGTTGAAATTCGTCTCCCACTATTGGAGTCATCTGCTTCCTATCAGTTTGGTGCTGTGGTGGTCTTTACGTATTCCAGTAGGTTAATACACAAATGGTGAGTCTTGTGATTATGTTTTTGAGATGTGGAAATCACACTATTGGTAGCACTGACGACGAAAGAGACAAAGTGCAAAAAATGAAGATAGGTAGCTACAGGTATTTTTGCTAAGCATTCTATATATATTCCCTGTTTTTCAGAACACTTCCGATATTCAATGATATAATAATAAAGGTGGCACTATCTTGGTTCTGTTTTGTGCTTTTGAAATCTCTCTATAAAGGGCCATCTCAATAAACTTCGGTATTTCACTTTTCATTTCACAGCTCTTTCTTTGACTCTTATGGTGCGGAAGGAAACTGTTTCCTGTGCTGCATTTGTCGATAATCTCGGACTTGATGTTTCGACTTAAAAGCGATTTAGTAATTGATATCACTGAGGAGATGTGTGACATACGCTCGAGTTTATCCATATGAGGTCGACAAATTGTATATCAAGAACATTCAATTCAGGAGAACAAAGATCCCATTGATTTCATTTGGATGTTATAAATGGGCTTGTCACTACTTCGATGAATGTTTTTCTAGTAGACCCATGAAACTTGTTGCTGAGAGTTGTTAGCCCTGCAACTGTGTAAGAAAGACATTATTAGTTATTGTCTATTATGGTTATTCTTGCTTGCTAATAAGTGCTGTCAGTATTTCATAAGCTATTTAAGTAGACAGTTGTCGGAGGAATAAATTCAATCTTTGCATTGAATACTTAGGACCAAAGTCAAAAATCTACTTTAATTGATCCAAAGATTCGACTTGTGCATTGATTCAAGATTTGATGGAGAGTAACCTTCATCGTAAAATCACGTTGGGGAACGTAGTCAAATTTTGAGACATAACCGATGTCCCAATAAAGGAATCGAAATCTTCATAACGGGGAGATGGGATGTATTATATTAATGGTGATAGTTTCTGAGCTACAAAAAGCCGTGCAATAGTGGGTTGAGATTACGAGAGTGTTGTGCATGGGATCAAGCTCAACGGATATAATTCATAGATTGAAATGGATCGACCTATCTCCGGGAAGATGTGGGATAGAAGTGACGAGTTAGGTGAAGACAGAGGACTCGGAAGAGAGTAATCTATCATGAGTTTATTGTAATCTCAGTCGTAGTCGCATAAGCTTTACTCTGAAAAATCAAATGATCTCTGATGATGTTATGTAAACAATATATTGCAAATGTATCGCATTATCTTCTAAAATCTTGACAGTATCATTTTACGTATTGATTTCAACCATTCTTCAACAAAATTACGAACTGTTAACATCTTAAATCGGATTTCAAAAAATCCGCTGCATTTATTTATCGGTTGGTGTTACTTGTAATTCTCACCCTTTTGTATCAAGCATAGTGAAAGTATTCTTACGATAGATGCACTTCCGCATCCAACATTAATGACCATTACTTGCAAATTTTGACAGCGAACTGCTGAGTATTATCTGGAATCTTTTATGACGTACAATATAAATTACACTTTTAATTTCGCATTATATTAAGATCAAGTACCATTTTGAAGGAGTCTAATTTACTAGGTCTGTTGAACAACATTTCTTCATTAATGCTTCATTCTTCATTACTTCATCAAAAATAAACCTTCATTAATGTTATTGTTACTGTCTTTTAAAATTTTTGCTTTCAAACTGTTTATTTTATTAAAAAATTGTTTTTGACCTTTCCCAAGATTTTTAATATGCAATAATATCATATTAAAAAATATGATGTGATAATAATAAGTCCGTCAACATTTCCACTTCCTTTTTATTTGATTTTCTATAAATGAATGAAATTAGCATGATATGAGTAGTATGCAAACCATGTGTTTTTGTGAAATTTTTTTCTTTAGAATGAATTTATTTATCTATTTTACATGTAATTCGAAACAACAAAGCAACAATGTGTAATATCCAAAATGAAATGTCTTTTTAGAAATATTTGATTAAGAAACTTCAGGGCTTGTGACGCATTTCAACAGCATGTTAGCTTAGTCCGAGGCTTAATAAATGAGCAGGGAGAATGACTGCATCCTATTAAATGGATCTTAATTTGTAATAAAGTAATGTGCCGGATGGTATTTGAAGATAAAAGCATATAGCATGCAATTATTGTTCATGGAAAGCGTGACATTCCGGCGTTGAAGTCATTAGTGAGTTGATTAATGAACAGAGGCATGGTTTTCTCTTAATTACAAGAACTTTTACATCTTCAAATCGGTACTGTATTGATATATGCTTTTCATTCAAATAGCTTTGGGCACATTTTTAAGATAATAAATTATATAATATTGAATGTATTTGTACTAGCATATACAATTATCAATCGCTTGTTATTGAAATGTTGATAAGAATATATAGCATGTTTCTTGTATCTTGTATAATTGCTTCTTGTATAATTCAGTAAGTCAATTCAGCAGAAATCATTCCAATTCGTAAATCTGTTGGTCGATTCTAAATTAGTACTTCATACTTTTCTACACTAAATGTTACAATTTATAAGGATTTCATGATTAAGAAATTCTCAATGCAGTTTGCTGATATTCTATAAGTCGAAGGAAATCAGTTTCTGAGACTTTCTTTCGTTTGAGTTGGTGGTCCAGTTTTCTGATAACGACTACTGGACATGGATATTCCATTGAATGTAGATTCGATAGATAGTTCAGAACGTCTATCAAAAACTAGCGTTGTCTTGAATAGATACCAAGCGAGTGCCACGGAGAGTAAAATCATACAAATAATAACGAATATGGTTAATGTAATAATACAGTATCGCACAGTTACGAATAGTTCACCAGCTCTCTCAAAAAGCGCTTAAAACGTTACAACATACTATGCTAATTTAATAATCATTTGGAACTTTCCAGAAACAATGCAAAATTACTTTCAATTAATTCAATTAATACAATTAACTGAAACACATTCAAATAGAGGAACAAAATTCCTGTATTTTAAAAAACTAAAATTTTTTTATTTTTTTAAACCCTATATTTAACAATGTTCGATCACTTTCTTTAGCCCCTTTTCCTATCAAATCAAGAATTATAAGCGACAAACCTGAGCCGCTAATTGGATATCTTCCATACTACATGCTTTGAAACACACATTGCCCGAGAAAATATCAGTAACCGTACGGGGTAAAGAAGGACTATCAAAGTGTGCAAAGTGCTGCCATTTCTGCTCCAGAAATCCTTGATGATGGGATAAACAAATTTTTGAACCCATTTAAGGTACGTGATACATCCGAAAATAATTGCGGTACATTGATTTCATTCGGTATAATTGCGTCACTCGACATTTCTTCAGATATTTGCTTTTCAGTTGCTTAATTTCTTTCACTATTTACAAACAACAGTATATAGATAGCAAATGATAAAATTTGATGTGATCAAAATGAATTTCTTGTAGTTGGACAGTTGCATCTATTTCATATAATTATGGTTGTTTGTAGATGACGATCGACCACTAACATCTCCGAAATCAATTGAGGGGAATAACTTAAAACATTTCTAAAAAAAGTTATGAATATTGGCCACATGGAACTTCTACTTCTTTACCTACTTCTTTACTCTTATCTATCTTTACTTTTACCTCTTTTTTAAACAGTGTACAAAATTGAGCCATTTATAAGCCAATTTTTTGTTGTGGTAGCATATAATAAACTATTTCATATTCAGTTTATAAAAAAAAAGTGCAGGAATTTTCGAATTTAAAAGCAAATTGCAGAAATAAATTTTTCTGCATATTTGAATTCCTGCCGGTAGAAAAATTGCATTATATTGTTTTGCTGCATATATAATTCTTTAGAACAACATTTCATGGAACTTAGAAAATAATTCAACTGCATGATTACATGAATAATGCATATGGAAAGCAAGCGATTAATTAAATCGAGAATCTTTTCTCGAACGACATAGTGCTAAGATGAAGTAAAGTGTAGTGAAACATTTGTGAATGTCGTTTTGGGTCCAGAAAACCGTAGTTTGTGTTACTATTCTCGACTTTTTGGTTTTTGGAATATATGCTGATGAGATAAACAGACATACAACTAATAGCAGAAGCGCCGTTCTATGTTAAACAAATGGTATAAAAGTAAAATGGATATGGGGAAAGGAGAGATAAAAACTGGTCAGGGATAGTCGGAAACTCGTTCATTTTTATAGAAATGAAAAGAAAGAAAACTATGACAACTGAAATTTGGACAACATTGAAACTGTTCCCTAATTTAAAGTACGAACGTTTGTATTAGAAATGACTGCTATCACTGTAAATGAATTTGTTAGCAGCAACTTTCAAAAATATTTCTTATGTTTTATATTTCTTTTTCATCCATTCGACATCAATTCACAAATGGAATGAAGCAAAATGCAACATACCACTACAAATGGTATAGCAATTATATCATTTGTAGTAGTATGCCATACTTCAGGATAATATATCAGTTGAATCTTTAAAATTCATAAACCATAAGCATGCATAAAGCAGTAGCTGTTACCACTTAGCAATACAATCAACAGAACAAGAAAAGTGATTCTTCACATTGAAATATAGTGACATGCTGAACGAACAGAATAATCTGATGAACTACCACTGTTTAGTTAGAATTGTAGATAAAAGAAGATAGTGTAACAGCTAATCACCTGAAAAGTGATGCAAAAAATTGAGAAGTGATAAAGTCATCCCCTCAATTTCAATAACTCTGCTCTTAAATGAATAAAAATAATGGTAAAGTGATAGAAAAACTCTACTTTTGTTTGAAGAGTAAAAGAGGCGAAATGGGGTTTGATGATTTCATCGATATGGCCTATAAACATACGACCTATATTTATCAATACTGATGTCGATGTGGTATTCGAGGACATTGCTCAACGATGTATAAACGATGAATTCGCTAAAATTTCATTCTGCCCTTTATGATAAAAGACACAAATTGTGTAGAGATATTTCTAGGAAAGAACTAGTTGCAATCCTCTAAATCCTCTTATGACACCATTGATCGCAAATGAAACGAACTAAGTGACACCTCTAGCACACGCATGCATAATACGCAGGAACGCTTGCCATTCAGTACGGTCGAAGCTATTTTATTGTCCTTCTTGCGTCATCCTCCAATCACCGCCCATCCGTTAAGTTTTAAATTCTCGATTTGTGCGAAAATGACCCGAACATTGCTTTCTCTCCTAAAATTCAATCGTTTACGAGCAATTACCACTTCCCGCCATCCAACTGACCAAGATGATAGTCCGTCTACTAAACGAATTTGGTACAAAAGCCACTTGTCACTTTATCTTTCTCAATTTACAGTGCTTCAATACTAAGATGAAGTGAAATTCGGAACATCCAGCTCATATTCCCCTTCTCTTTCTGTTAGTGGCTTGCAAGAACTTCTTCTTACCAGCGATATAATGAACCGGACCCATTTGAGGTTAGTCTTAAAAGTGACCAGCAATTCCCTTTTCGAAATCTTCCCAATACAACTTGTAAGAAAAATACCAATAACCTTACCATCTAAGCAGTCCCAAAAATCAATTACCTCCTGTTTTAATGACAAAATAACACACCTCCGAACCCTAGCAACGGTCTCTTAAAATGTATATATTTCGACTTAAAAGTTTAAGAAAAATAATCACTTTGCGACAGAAGCTAAGCTATCAGAACACATACCCCGTCAACACTTCATCTTTGCTGCTTCTTGCCTAAGCACCAAAGAGAATATTTTCGACAACCATAGGATATCATTACAGCACTGTCTAAGTAATTATTTGCGAGATTTATTTCAAAATTTGTACTACAAATGTAAGGAATGTCTAATTCAATATTCGATCTTCAATTTACTAAGTCATTTTAATTTTTCTCCACATAAGTAATCATTTAAAGAACACAGCAGTTCGGACCGGAAATTAACGTTGTAACAATATATTTGGAAAATAAGAAAAAAACTGTATATAAGCAAAAAAAAAAAAAAAAAAAAAAACTGCATTTAGGCTACTAACAACAGTAACAGAAGTAGCGAGTATGGGAGATACAAATAATCACAGGAGAGTAAAAATACAGTTTTTAAGAATGAAATAATCTTCCTTGAGGTTATTACGGAAATAAATGACTTGTTACGAACATGCGGCTTGAAGCATTTTATCTCTCCTGTCAAAGAGATGACACCAGCTTCCTCTCTACATCTTTGATGATAAAGATCAAGGTCATTCTTAACTTATCCAGAAGAAAAAAAAAAAGAAAACTACTAAAATAATTACGATTTTCTTCTGCATAAACTTGAAAGATTGCTTTTCATTTTTTTGTAAGTACGGTTGATGGAAAAAATCAAAAGAGCTTAGTTAAAATCCAAAAAAAGCAAATACACAAATATAAAAATAAAAAATACGAACAATTAACGCTTCCTTCTCTCTGGACTGCGTTCTCCTCGTCTTAACATTCGCCTTTCCCTGCAGTAAGATGGTAATGTATTTAAAACATAGCAGAAATCAGTGGTGAAGACTGGTGAAGGTGAAAATTCTTTGCCTTCAAGTTCAATTGTGTATCCATGTCGTTTCATGGTTACAAACACCCTTAAAAAATCTATTCCACACACTCCATCTCTCCGTTCCTAATACAACTTCTATTGCGGCCTTTGCGGCATTTTATTGTAAAGAAATTTTGCATTTTATTATCTTTCTTGGTTAAACAATTTCGCCTTCTATTAATTTCGACTTACTTTGACCTCGATCTTGACCTGTCGCGTTCACGCCCTCTCTCACGACCTCTCTCCTATAAAAAAAAAAATCCTAGTTAACCAAGCTCTTATAAACGCTCCAGATTACCAGAAATTTATGCAATAAAAATGAAACAGTAGTGCTGCAAACAATAAACATGAACGCTTTTAAAAGCGGAATATTTGAAAATTGAAAGATGAAAAATAAAAATTAAAGAATATCAGTACCCGATCTCTCTCTCGTGTCCGTTCACTTCTATCGATCTCACCTTTGCTTCTTTCACGTTCTCTTTCTCGAATACTTCTGTCATCTTTCCTGTCTTCCCGTTTTCTACTTCTGGACCTCAAATTAAACTAACGTTTCCTTTTTTTTCCTTTTTAGTTATAAAAAAAGGAAAAAAATCTGCTTTGACAGCAGGTAGCTTCTTATAAGACAAACGGTTGATTGTAAATTCATTTCGAAATGAAAATTTTCCATACTATTTTTCTTTACGCACATATACCGAAAAAACCTATAGCAGAAATAAATGAACGAAAAATATTGACTAAAGAAACAATCCGCCAGATCACAAATGTAACCAAAAAAGAATTTTCAAAATCACACATTATGATAAAACGTATTCAAAAAAGTGAATAGAATCAATCAATCTGATTACCTTTTGGTTCTTTTTTTCTTTTTCTTATCCTTTTGTTCAGTTAATACATCCAGCTTTTCTTCCATCTGTTTCAGCAGCGAAGCACGATATTTCTCCACCAGAGCAGAAATATCTTCACATCGCTGAGACTCCAATTCATCCTGATATTTGACTACCTTTACCTGTAAAGAACACTTTGTTTTAATAGAGAAAGAGAAACGTAAATCAATTTAGAGAAAGATCTAATTAAGCTTAACTGCATCTTTTTATAAAACATACCTCAATTTCACGCAGAATCTTTCGCCTTTCTTCATCTAGGCGGGCAGCAGATGAACTCAGTGACTGTTGAAAAGTTAAAGTAGTCCTGCAGGTTAAAAAAAAAAAAAAATGAAGCTTTCTTTAGACATGATGTGCAGAAGGCGGAAAATGTGTTATATTAGCTGCATACAAAAAGAGAAAGTTATTTTTATTGCTAGAGTAAGAAAAAAAAAAGTGTGTTGATCTCAGCTTATACGAAACTTCAAAAAACAAACTTGTTGTCATCATCATCTTCATCCGGACATTCACCATCTTCACTTCCATTCTTATCATCATCAATTGGAGCACCGTCAATATCGTCCTCCTGATCAATTTTGCCCACTACTGTCTCATCATCCTTGCCATTTTCCAATAAGTCCCACTTGCTAGTAGTTACAGCTTGGCTTGCAACAACTGACGGGTCTACCTAAAAAATCTGTGTTCAAAAAAAAAAAAAATCCTTAACAAAACAACAGTCATGATAGTTGTGCGGAACAGTGAAATTATGATGTGAGACTCACAACATCCCACTGGCTTCGCTTAAATGTTGCTGCCTTCTTTGGCTGTATTTCTACGGTATCTTCTTCAATTGGTACCCCATCGATATCCTCCTCTTCAAAAATTGATTCCTTCTTTATAATTGTTTCATCTGGCCCTTCCTCAATAGGAGCACCATCAATATCATCCTCTGATACCTCATCTTCTTTCTAAACAATATAATCATAGAATAAAACACTGAATCTATAACTCAAAAAAAAAAAAATACTACAAAATTTCACATATCAAATTTGATGACATTATAAGTGCAAAGCGAAAACATCTATGCTGCTATACGCAAATAAAAAAGTAGATTCTTAATGGCAAAATATGAAGCTACCGCAAGGCCCAAGAAAACATTCTGTAATTGAATAAGGAAATCAGTCGGATAAATTGAATTATCTTCCCAAGTGCGAAAGCATAACATCACTCGCTGCTTGAACTGTTCTGCTTTCAAGCGTGCCGCAATTTTTTCGTAAGTTTTATTGAGTTCCTAAAAAGAAATGGGATCGGTTTCCTGTAAAAGGTTACTAAATCATCAAATGCAAAATAAAAAATAGCATTAAATCCATATGAACACTTTTGTTTCATACTATACATCGAAAATAAAAGATAGCAAGTACTCTGAAAATCTCGGGCATCAAGTCGCCAATATATTGCCTATAATAAAACACATCTCGAACTCGGGCAGCACAGTTTGCCAGTATATCCGAAACTAAATATAATCTAGCGATCTAAAAAAAGCATCTAAAAAAAAGCAATGTTGCGTGCGTATTATTTCAATTGTTATTTCCTGAGAATTCTAATTAAAAACCTTTATCGTCAGGATTACGAAAACTCTTAAAAGATTTTACGAAATAACGAAATGCAAATTAATTTACTAAAATATTAATTTTTAAATTAATTTACTAAAATATTCATAAGATCTAAGCCTGATCCACTAAGGTTAAACAAAAGCTCAAAAGACAAATCTTTCCGCAACATATTTACTACATAATCACAGAAAATCTGCGAACTAATTCAAAATATTGTTAAAATTCAAGCACTGTATAAATCTAAAGAATAACAGACAAAATGAATGAGAATCTTTGATGTAGATATGTGAAATCGATTTCTTTTTACAAAAAGTAGATGAGATATAAAATGAACCTTTTTATGCAGGGGTGTTTCATCAATAGTTAACGATTCGTGTAAGCACTGAGAGATCTCTTTGGCACATGTAGCATGCTCCACACACCAAACCATTGCATCTGCCACGGAAGATTTCTCAGGAAGAAGTCCTCGGAGTATATCCTTGGAATTCATTGGACATTTTTTTTCACTATATTTACGAAATAAATGAAATGCAACAAAGACAAGTAAAATCAATAAAACCTCAAGCTCATCTCGTTCAGCAGTACTCAGTACTCCTCTCCATTTCGTTTTAATTTCTTTTCTGTCTTCTTCTTCGTCTTCACTACTGCTGTACTTTCTTTTTCGTGACTTAGCCTATGGATACGATAATAAATAAATTAATAAACAAATAAAAGCAAAAATTATCACAGAAAGCATTATTGTGAGCAAGTTCTTGATTTCTGCTTAAACAATTTTGACAACTGAAGAAATTACGTAATAGAATTCTAGTTAATTTGACCCTATCAAGAGAAAAATTTTGCAAAGTTTCGAATGAAAAAACCTTACTATAGGCCTTTCCGCTGGCAAACCACCATCAAAAGCAGTATGATATAAGCACTCGGGCATTCCACCAGTTAAAATATTGTGAGGTGGTGGCTGCCACCAGCTACCTTCATCAAACATTCGGAACTTCTGCAAGCGCCAAGTTTGTGGTGTCTCACCTTGTAGTATGGAATACAATTTCCATCGATAATAAACGTGTGCTGGATGGTGATTATCGAAAAGAAACCTTGAAAGCCACGCAATTATTCAAAATTTGAAAATGCCTTCTCGAAAAATAAAAGCCATACAATACTTCCTGCTGCTCTAGAAAACATACCGGTATACGGGGTTATGTCGTTCTCGACCCATCAACATTGCTTCGAACAGCGGTCCTTCACGCACCAAAAACTCAATGGTCCGATGAATTAACACTAACAAACTTCTGAAAACAAACAACAGCATTCCGAACAAAACTGCAAGGATGGGG